GGATTCGAACTGCGGCCTCTCTAATCATAATAAGACGCCTTAACAATCTGAATAAAGAAAATTCATAATATTATTTTAGCTTTTTGTTTTATATAAAGTAAAAATATAGTAAAGAAAAATGACAAAAGCCAGAATCGAACCGTTGACATTTTGTGTGTAAGTCAAACGCTCTACCAGTTCGGCTACGTAACAAATAACTATTATATTAAAAATTAAATTATATTTATAGTAGCCGGCAATTTCCAAATTAGGAAATTGAACTTTTTAAACTCCGACGGGCTTATACTCCCCTTTAACCTAATTATCATCACATTACCGGTAACTTTTCGATGTCAGCTTATAACTCTCAAATATCCAATCGTGCTATGTATGCGTGTAGAGTATCACCAATTCAAATTGATCCTGTCACTGCTATTGGAGATTTTGTTTTTGGTTGTACGGGTGTATCGAATCTGTTGGGTACTTCTAATAAATTGGAATTTATCTTGGGTTTATGGGTGCTTCAAAATTGGCATAATAATGAATTGGTAAATTCAGTTGGTGGTGATCGTGTTCGTTTTGCTGAGCATATTTTGGAAAAATTTAATTCATGTGTGACTGAAGGTCTTATTTTTGGTCATAGTAATTTTTTACCTGTTTTAATTGAGGATGTAGCTGTAAGAACTGTTGTGGGTAATAGACCTGTCCAAATGGGTAATATTCGTGAAGTGACTGCTAATCCAGTTTATCCTGCTGTTCGTTTGGAGTGTATGGATTTTGCTAGTCTTTTAAATGGACGTCCTCTTTTGGTAGCATCTGAGGGTAATATGTTGATTCCTCATTACGGGTATGGTGCTTCAATGTTTTGTTTGAATCGTAATGGTACTGTTTCAAGAAATTTAAGACCAGAATATGAAGGTCGATTGCCGTACTTTGAAGACGTTGATGGGGTCGCTCATGCCATTCGGCCAGATAATCCACCTTTGGATGAAGTGAATCCAGTTGTAAATGAAAATCACGATGAAAATATGGCCCGTTAGGTGTGTGGTTTTTGGTCTACGGTGCCTGGTTTCCAGTTTTAGTTCATTTTTTTTTTTAATAAAGTAGTTGTTGTTATTAATGATGTTATGTTAGTTGATAATTTTTGTGTGTATGTTGTCTTGTTTGGAGATTGTGTTTAATTTATTTTTATGTTTTTTGTTATTGTAATGTTTGATGATATATAATTGTTGTTGTAATACATATATTCATTTGGAGTAGTTGATTATATGAGATAATTGTTGTTAGTATGTATGTTGTTATGTGTACTATGTTATAGCGATTCATCTATATGTGTTATTCATTTTTTAATTTTGGTGATTTTGAGTTCAAGTTTTTATCTTTTTTTTTTTTGTAGTTTAGGTGTATAAGTGTTGTTTATATGTGTTCTGTTTATTTAATGTTGTTTTTATTTAGTTTTAGGGGTTAAATTAGATTTTTGGGGTAATCATATGTTTTATTTTTTATTTTAGTTTATATACAGATTTTTTATATTTTTTATTTTAGTTGTCGGATAAGTTTTTTATATATGGTTTTATTTTAGTTGATGGACAGGTTTTTTTTTTTGGTATTTTATCAGTTTATTTAATGGATAAGTTTTTTAATTATATATGATTGTTTGTTTGTGGAATATGGGGGGTTTTTTTTGTATATTTGTGAAGTTAGTTTAATATCATTTTTTTATTGAAGTTTTTTTTTTTTTAGTTAAAAATTATTTATCATTTTGTATCAATGTATATAGAATCAATTCTGAGCTTTTGGAGATAAGAAATGAGTTGTTTGTTGCTTTTGATATTGGTAAGAAACTTGTTGAATTCATCTTCTTTAACTTTTTCAAAATCAGAGCCAGGAATATGGAAACTAAACATTGCAGCACCAGCGTCACCTGTTATTTCGGATAATTCATTGATTCTGCTACAACGTTTGAGGTATTCTGTGAATTTTTTGGTTTTCCAGTTCAATTTTTCCATGATAATTTTTTTATTTTCTGTTTTATTTTCTAACTTTTGATAGAGCCGGTGACAAAGAATGTAGGACGTGAAAGATACGGGAGTTAAAGCTGCACGTAAGTTGAATTTTTGTTCGCTGATATTTGTAAGTTGTACGAAATTGTCTGTGTTATTATCAGTTGGTAGATAATGTGGAATTTCCATTTTGGCTTTAGTGATTTGTTCATATCTGAAGCTGAAGTCTGGGATTGTGTAATCTTTTTGGAATCTTTGATTACGTTTCTGGGTTTGTGATTCAATCATGTCTTGATCTTGACACAGTTTGTTAAACCATTCATTGAGTGTTTTATTTGCGATTGATTTTCCATGTTTTTCACAAGATTTTTCGTAAATTTGTTGGTATTCTTGTTTAATTTGTTTAAGCAATTCAGTAGTTTCATCCTTAAATAATAAATATTATTAGTATATGATATGTATTTTTTTTTTATATATATTTACAGTGTGTTCGGTTTTTTGTTTTTTGGTTGTATTTTGTGTGTTGTCAGTGTTGTTGGACATTTTACGGTTGTAGATATAAAAGATATATTTTAGAGTAAAGAGATGGTTGAAGTTTTTTTTTTTATTTTATGCCGTATATTTATATTTTTTTTTTTGAAGTAGTGTAACATTTCGGTGTTTTTTTCTTATTCAATTGTTCGACGAATTAGGTGAATGCGTCGTTGTACAATATTCTTTGTTGTTATAATTATCTGTTAAATGGTTGGTTTATTTTCTGAATAGGTTTTATACTCAGTGATTTAGTATTTCTGTTGTTAATATATTTATAACTTGTGTTAATTTTTTTTTGTGATATATTAACTTGTAATTGTCTTGTGTTAGGTTTAATTGAATTTATATTTGGGCTGTTTATCAAAGAGTTTAGTGTAATTTACAATTTTAGAATTTGTTGAGTTAGTGTTGGATGTTGTCCGTTTGTTTTTGTAATTATGTGGTAGTATGGTTGTATTTTTTTTTTTTTTTTTGTATTTTGGGGTAATCAATTGTGTGTTTGTTTTAGGTGGTGGTATTGTTGCCAAGTGTTAAATGTTTTTGTGTCGATGAAATTAGATTATGAGATTGAATAATGGTTTGTATTCTGGTTTTTTTTTTGGGTTATTAATGGTTGCATACTTTTTTTTTTAAAAAAATGTGGATGAGGTTTGAGTGTTTTAATGTTGTATATTGCTTTTATTGGGTAGTATTTGTTGTCGTTGTGTTGTTTTTGTATTAAATAGATTTAAGAATTATATTTAGAGTAGTTTTTTAGTAGTATATATTTGTTTCTATTTTCATTTTATTTTGTTCTGTTGTTTATCTGTTTTATTCTTTGTATTTGTTTTATTTAATATGGGATAGTTTTTTGGGGTAAAATTATTTTCAAGTTATTAATGTTGTAACAATATTTGATTGGTGTGATGATGGAGTTAAGGTTTAAGTGATTGGAGCTTGTATTTATTTGAACAGGGTGTTAGATTGTTGAGATGTATATTTATATGTTTTACTATTGTATTGTATATATATAATGCAAGTTGTTTTCTATATAATTTTTTCTTTTTCTTTTGTGATTTATTAAATGGCTTTTTTATCTTTACCTGGATTATTTTTTCCGAGTCTTTTGCAAGTTGAAGAAGAGAAGTTTGCTTTTTGTATGTATGATCATAAGACTGGGTTTCATTTGTATAAGTTTGTTGTAGCGAGGGAGCTTTATGAATTAGCAATGGTGGGAATAGATCGTAATTGTCCTAAATATGCTGTTGTAAATGGATCATTGAATGATATTCCTATTATGCAAGATTTTTTGGGAATGGTTCATGAAGATCGACAGGTTGTTTATGTTTCCGGAATGACTGTTTTTCCTGTTAATGCTGTAGTGCCTGAGCAACTAGTTGGTATGGTCCAATCGTTAAATGTTCCAATTGTTCTAACAGAAGGGCCTTCTGAAGGGTATTATACTATTGATATGGATGGAACCCAAAGTGATTTTGTTCCTATAATTCCGCAACCTGAACAGTTTGATGGTGATGAAAGAATGGAAGAGGAAGATAACGATGATAATAGAGCTCCGGTTGTTGATGATAGGTTAAATGTTTTGGATCATAGTGCTTCAGTTGATGATGATGGTGAAGCTGATTTGGAAGAAGAAATTCGGCGTCAACAGCGTTATTATGAAGCTGTTTATAATGAAAATCCGAATACAAGTGAAACAATACTTGTTGGAGGTGAATCTGAAATTCAAACGTTTGATACAGTTGAGGAGTTAGAACTTGAAAATCAGTTAGCTCTTCAGCAAATAGAGGAATTGAAGTTGTCACTTAGGGATGATGATGAAGATAACGTAGCTGCTGTTGAAAATAGTGTAATTGAAGAAGTGGAAGAGTCTGATGTAGCAGTAGTTAGTGAGGGAGAGACTATATCAGTTCCTGAAGGGACAAGTAATCGTAGTGAGTATTTGTTTATTTTATTGGTTTTAAGTTATTAACAAGTTATGTTTTTATTAGGTGGATCTGTGGCTAGTACGAGTAGTGTTCAAAATTTGATAAATAGATTTGAAAGTGGTCAAGTAGAAGGTATATATTTATTCTGTTTATGTTTTAATATAATTGGTCTTAATGAATAGTAGAAGAGTCTTTATCGATTAGGTTGAGCCGTTTAGGTCAAAGAAGAAGTAGTCCTACTGGTGATGTCAATGTTCGGAAGAGAGTTAGAATGATGGAAAGATTGATTGATAAGGAATAAAACTTGTTTTGTTATTGTATAAATTATATTATTAGTTATTTTGTTTTTTGAATGATATAGTATACTTGGTATTTAGTTGTTTTGTTATTGTTTAATTGAAAGTTATTGTTTGATTTATCAAGGGTGATTTTAGTGTATTTTTTTTTTTTGTTTTTATTTTTGATTAGTTTTTGGACTATTTTTATTTATAGTTGTATAACATGATGGGTATTTAAGAGCGCGTTGTATATTTTTTTTTATAATAAATTAGTTTCTTTTCTTTTTTAAAAATATGGCTGATAACTTTATTGATGATCGTATTGGTGTGAATTCACCTTTGTTATTTATTGGTGTAAATCCTGGTTTGGAAAGTAATGTTGTTAGGAAGCATCATTTTTTTGCGGGTAGTAGAAATTTGTTTTTTAAACTCTAGAATAAGAGTGGATTGGTACCAAGAGATGTTGTGAATGA